GCCTACTGCGCAGGCGCACCGGGCACCCGCCCGCCGCGCGCGGGGCCCGAAGGCCACGGCGCAGGCGTCAAAGCTGTCGACCCGGCTCGCGCTCGCCAGCGCATCAGGGATTCCACACTCCCTGCCACTCTCTCACGCCCCCTCCCGGTCGCTTCCTCGCGCTTGCGCGGAACAAAACGAGCGCTCTTTCTTCGCCATCCCACCACTCCACCTCCCCTATCCTGCCTTTCCCCGCCCCACAACACAGAACTGACCTATCATGGGGAGGGAGGGGCCAAGCTCTCTCTTAGAGATTGGCCTTCCGCTGCCCTGGCCAGGCCACACCCATTTATCATCTACTTCACCACCAGGCTCCAGCGAGTTAGGGGTGGGCATGCGCCTGAGTGACTGCTTGGTCACTTTCCCCACCTTTGTCTTTCTTGGTGCGCACGCTCCAAAGGGAAAAGGAGTTGTCGCAAGGCAGAAGGTTCCTTGTGCGCACGCGCTGAGATTTGCGTTTTGCGCTCAGGTGTTTTAGCTGTTTTAAACGTCTAGCTAGATGCTATGGGGGATTCAAGAGTCGCCCTTTCTAGCTTGAAGAGACTTTGGTATAATGAAAACGTAACTTCAAGGCCATTCCGAAAAGCAGATGCAATAAGCTTCGATATATAAATGCTGAGGAAATTCAAAATAAGAAAAATTGTCATGCATTAAGGATAGTACTGTGAAAACTTGGGTGTGTGTGTGTATGTGTGCGCGCGCGCGCTGGGGATTGAACACTCACTGTACCGCTGAGTTACAACCCCCCCCCCCCCGCCGCCAAACTTTGGATTCGGTAGATGTGAATAAAATAGCACAGATATTACAACTTTATGCATTTAATCATTTAGCAAATATTTACTATGATCCAATGATTGTGCTGAGAGGAGTACAAGGGCAAGACATGGTCCCTGATCTCAAGGAATTGATAATAGATTGGGAAAGATGCAGACAGCATATAAACGCCGAGCTTGATTGAAAATGTGGAAATAATGACCAGGATAGAAAGAAATCCTAGGAGACTTTTTTTTTTTTTTTGCGAGACAGGGTCTTTCGCTTTGTAGTCCTGGCTGGCCTCGAACAGGCATGCAGCGCTAGGCCCAGCAAAGGAGCGAAGGAGACATCTTTAATTGTGCTTAATGATCAGGAGCCCGGCATAGCGGTACATGCTTGCAATCCCATTTACTCGGGAGGCTTTCAAATTCAAGGCTAGTAGGCAATTTAGATCCTGTCTCAAAAATAAAAAGGGTTAGCCGGGCGTGGTGGTGCACGCCTGTAATCCCCGCACTTGGGAAGCTGAGGCAGGAGGATGACCGCAAATTCAAAGCCAGCCTAGGCTACAAAGTGAGTTCAACGCCAGCCTGAACTGCATAGTGAAACCCTGTCTAAAGACAAAAAATAAAAATAAAAATAAAAAAGGTTGAAGACGTAGCTCAGTGATAGGTTGCTTGCCTGGCACCAGTAAAACATGGGGCTTGACCTTGGTGAGCCCTCAACCTATAGGATCTAACGCCCTCTCCAGGCAGATATCGTCCAAACAATTGACTTGGAGAACACCCAGCTGGCATCGGAAAGCATTGCTCACTTGCTGGTGAGAAAAAAGGTCCATCCTTGCCTTTCAAGGTCACTGAAGTCTTCTGATGTTAATGTTTTTTTATTTGAGAGCACTACGGATCAAATTCAGGAACTTTACACTGAACTACATCTTCAGCAAATTTGCCCAGTTGTCCAAGCTAGGCTCAAACTTGCAATCCTCTAGCTTCCATTTCTTGGGTGATGAGATTATAGGTGTGCAGTAGCATACCCAACTATTTTTTAGTTTTTTGAAACAGTGAGACCTCACTGCATAATCCAGCCTGGCCTCAACTCACATTCTTCCTGTTTCAACCTCCCTAATGCTGGGATTATAAACCTGGCCTGGCTTGTATTTTTATTTATTTATTTATTTAGTCTTTTGTTAAGACAGGGTCTCGCTCTACAGTTCAGGGTGGCCTTGAGCTCACTTTGTAGCCCAGGCTGGCCTCGAACTTGCAACGATCCTCCTGCCTCAGCCTCCTTTATTACATGATTGAATAAAAGAATAGGCTAAACTGGGTATGGTGGAACATGCTGCCTGTAATCCCAGCACGATGGGAGGCTGAGACAGAAGGATCACACATTCAGGTCAGCCTGGGCAACTCAGCAATTTATAAGTCTCTGTTTCTAAAATTAAAGAATTTAAAATAGGCTGGGGATATAGTTGAATGGGAAGTCCCTGGATTCAATCCCTAATAACATGAATAAATAAATATGATCCCATAAACTCTGATTCAACTATATGTACAGAGATATTTATAATTTTTTTCAGCCACCTCAATGTGGTAGCATATGCCTGTAATCCAGAAAATGGGAGGCTGAGCCAGGAGGATCATCATGAGTTCAAGACCAGCCTGGGCTGCATAACGAGTTGAAGGCCAGTCTGACCTACATAGTGAAACCATGTCTCAAGAAAAAAAAATAAGCCCGGGTGTAGTGGCGCATGCCTGTAATCTCAGCACTTGGGAGGCTGCGGCAGAAGGATCGTTGCGAGTTTGAGACCAGCCTGGGCTACAAAGTGAGCTCAAGGCCAACTTGAGCTGCACAGTGAGACCCTGTTTCAAAAAGACAAAAAATAAAAATATAAATAAATAAATAAATAAAATGAGCAAATTTAAGCAAAACCAAAACAGACATTTAACACTTTAAGACCATAGGGATAAGTGTATGTGAAGTACTGGAAATTGAACTTAGGGTCTTTGCACTGAACTACATCACCTACCCTATCCCCATTTTTTGTTGTATTTTGAAATACATTGCTAAATTTCCCAGGCTGGGTTTGAACGTGAAAGCCTCCTGCTTCAGCATCCCAGAGTGCTGGAATTACAGGCATGCATCACCATGACAAGGTTATTTATTTATTTTATTTCTGTGCTGCTAAGGATCTAACCCAGGGCTTTTCATATGCCAGGGAAGTACTTTACCAATGAGTTAAATTTCCAACTCTCATTGCCCAGTTTCATACTATTTTACTATGTAAATAATGTAGGTTGTAGAAAAATTGGAATGTACACATAGTAAAGGGGTTGGGATGTATTTTAGCAGTAGAATATGTGCTTGCCAACTACACAGCCCTAGGTTCAATACCCAAGACCAAAAACTACCCTCAATAAATAAACAATAGAACCCTAGCCTTATTTTTTTTTCCCCTAGCCTTACTTATACAATCACCACTACCTCACTGATACTGATTCTTCAAACTTATATATAAATATATATTTTTATATATTATATAATAAATAGAGCCGGGCGTGGTG